TTAATGGTTAAAAACGAGACGTTGCGAATATGGGATGCACACTTTCATGCAACGCTGACGTCAAGTGACTCAAATCGAAAAAACATGCATATTTACATAAATATTGTTATCCCTTCTGGTGAAGGCTCAGCAAACGTTGCATTCGTCACGAAATGGTGACTTCCAGAGAAAGTAAGAGCGCCGTATTATTGTCATTATTTTAACAATGTACTACACTCACTTGCAGGCTTGCGCTGATGAGGCCTCAAAGCCGAAGCTCTCGTAGCGTGAATCGTGACTGCGACCGCAGCTACCCAACCTCGATGTCACGGCAGTTCTGCAAGAAATCACTGCGAATTTGCCAGGAAACACACAAAAACGACACCAATGCAATCATTTTGTAGAATATCGCCTTATTTAGTAATAACTGTGTCAATATGCATTACATGTTGCATTTAAGATAAAAAAAAAAGAAACCTTTTTTTCGCCAGAAAGAATTAAATATCAACGTTAAGTCTGGCAACAATGTATTTTTGCCTAATCATTGCCGAATCTTTAGAAAAGGTCGACAAAAGTTCGGCTTCGCCGAATCCCAAGATTCGGCAAAACTTCAGCAAATGCACATAGAAGGCATTAAAATAACGAAAAACAGTATATATAAACTAATTAATTTTGTTGGGTGTTTTTTTTTGCGAGAAAGGTTTTATTTAAATTAACATAGCATCATTGTCATCATATGGTTTGATTTAAATCATCTTGATTTTGATTCTCCTTCCTGACGAACTAATACGCCTAAAAGCTAAAAAAAAAAAAGAAGAAATTTGCAGTAAACAAAGAAAAGCTTTTCAACTTCAGTCCCTTCGCAAAAAGCCGAAAAGTAAAATCGATAGTCCTAAGCAGGGGCCTAAACGGCTATCATTAAATTGCAGAAGAGAACGTTGGGAAGGTATTTCAGGCGTCGCACCGTCAGTGACAGGTTTTTGATGCCACAGAGGCCGGGAAATGCATCCAGGAACGCAAGGTCTGCCCTCAGGATATAGTTTATCTTGGCTTCATTTTACTGACCTTCAATCCCAAATACTTGCAGACAAATTTAAACGCGTACTCCGGCGTTTTCTTCATAGTCCCCGATTCGCCCGGAAATTTGCTAAACACAACAAACATTGCTCATATAGTAACCGAGATAATGGGCCAAAATTAATTATTTTCGCAAAGCTATTGAATTCGAAATCTTGGTCCTCACTATGTTTTTCAAAGTGGAGATGTCTACTGGCCACAATGAAAAAAAAAAAAAAAAAAAAAAAAATGACGTCCAGTGGAAGGCAGGGTTTCTTCACTACAGTAGTTTCACTCTTTGGACTGTAGGCTTCGTTCCCATCTGATTACAAGCGATTTGATTGTGTCTAATGAATGCTTTGGATGCTCTCTCCAGCACGCGTGCAGCAGCACGAAGCAAAAGTTCGGCATAGTTCATTTTTGGACTGCTCACTCGACCCGCAAGCCTGCATTCCATTGACGCCACTTCACTGAAAAGACGTTTACATTTGAATATTGGTATCGGCATCATTTTCACTGTCCGATTTCGCGATAACTATTCTGAATTTCGCAATACCACATAGCACACCGGAAAGGGTAAAGGCCGGTGATTCTAAAAAAATATATTTAGCTGGGGTAGCTCAAAAAAGCGCAGTTCTAGTAACCCTTTTCTTCATTTATTATTTAATCAAAATACCCCTAACGGCCTTCTTTATGAGGGTATTACATAAAGGGGGGGGGGGGGAGGGCAAGCAAATATATTAGTACACACACAAAGATCAAACAAACATAAGAAGCATACAAAAGAAATATGAAAACAAGGAATAAAACTTCAGCCTTTCCGCTCTCGTGAAGAAGGAAGACCAGCGGAACTGTACTCGATACACGTGTGCTTCTTCTTCGTCGTTGTCTGTTTTTCGCGCTGTTTCCTACGATGAATTCCCACTAATGCGCCCAACTATCCATTCTTCTATTATAGCTGGAAAGGTTGGCGCCATCTGCGAGGGACGGCGGAAACCATACTGGTTGTGTGCTTGCCGCTGTCGCTTATAGATGGCGGTAGCTGTCCAGGTAGGTTTGTGTCGACATACACGGACACAGTCCCGGGGAACCTTGCCCTTAACAGCTCCGCTGTAAAAAAAGAATGCTAAATATTAGTAGAACTGCGCACGAGTTCTTGGAAATCAGACATATCTAGTTCAGTTGCGATGTGAGCGGGTAGGTTGTTCGAGTCGATTATGTTTCGTGGTATGAACGATCGGGCATAACTAGATGAGTGGCATCCGATGCGCGTCACTTTCAATGAATGATCGCGACGTGAAAAAAAATAATGTGGTGTTTAAAAAAAACAAAAAAAAAACAATCGTCATAAAGCTTGTGAAATAATGACCGATGGACATGTTTAAGGTGGAGTGATAGGTCTGGCAACTCAGCTTGATTTTTAATGCGGTTAATGACGCACTTGCTTCCAAATCACACGGTCCCTTTTCGGCTGCCTGACGGTGGTTCTATTAAGGCTGTCAGTTTTCCACACCTCTCCGCTGTTTCACGGTCCTATTTACGCCGCGTCTTGGCATTGTTCGGGCTAAAAGACATTAGAGTGCCTCGATTCGATTGTTCCCCAATGCTCGATTTTTTAAAAATTTTTTTGAGTGCGAAGAGGAGGCGACAACTTTAATTGTCCGCAAGCGTCTCCTAGCTTTGTTCTGCCTCTGCGCCCGTTCTCCTCGTCGCCACGGTGCAACGCGCGCATGAGCAGGAGCAACCTATTTGCGCGGAAGGCGTTCGCCATTAAACTACAAGCGCATTACATGGTTTTGAGTAAATCATACTCGTTTCCACCTCAAAGGAAAAGAAGCAGTTATCACGAGATATGCCTTTGGCGTCTCAAGAAGATATGCCTTTGGCGTCTGAAGCGTGTAGTGCGTCTTGGTAAGATAACATATATCTAATCTAAAGTGCACCTTCACGGGGGACCTGAGGGGTGTGTTGGCTTAACGATAACTGACGCTGAAAGAATAAAATACACATTTGGGACGTTGCGAGATGAAAGATTTTTCGTCCGTCCCTAATTTATTCTTTCAGCGTCCATTTTTCGGTCGCGCACCGGTTACCTAGCTGTGTTTGGAGATTTGTGCTTGTCCTTTGTCTGTCCTGTTCTTCTTCTCCAGGGATTATTTTCGTCATCCTGTCCTGCTCGCTTGCACCTTTGCATTTAATTGCATTATAATCAGGCACCTTCACATATTAAGGCAAAAACATTTACTGTCCCATGGAGTGAAGCCGGCGTTGTCTGTAGCCGTTGTCTTTAGCACCGAAAACTTTACCTGAATTCCCATTGGCTGCGACGCGTCACGGGGCCCCATAGCAACGGCGTCATCGTTGTTAAAGGGCAACTCCGCTTAATTTCAAAAATTTTGAGATAGTGGCCGATTTTCTTTTTTGAAGCACTCAAAGACAACCCCCAATCCTTTGTTTCGCGAAAAATAAAATATTTTTCGTGTAATTTTACTCTAGCCATGATCACAAACCGAAACCAAAACGGTGGCAAAGCCGGACAACATTGTATATTCGGCATCACTAAGCATGTACACCCACGTGATATACAAGGGGAAGAAGGAGCTCCCCTCTTATCAGGATCCTCCTTTGTGCCTCCTGGATTAGCACAGGCGTCGCTATTCTCCTCCCAGAAGATTATAGAAGATTAACCTGTCACTCAAAATTCTTACAAAAGCAGCTTCCCTCTCCTCCTTTTACTTGGTGTTCAAAAGTATGCGATGTAACACAAGCCGCGCTCAACGAGGCGATCGGCTTATCAGTAGTATCAATAGTCGAGCGCCGGGCCGGCCGAGCGCGTCACTCACGTCTTTCACGGCGCTGGCGCCACCCGTGCTCTCACCGGGAAAGAAAACAAAATTGAAAAAAAAAAAAAAAAAAAAGAAGCTGTACATGCTTGATGACGTCGCGGACGTGCCGGGAGAAGGAATTTGGAGGAAGCGGAAATGCAGCCGGGCAGTGTTGTCTGGCCCGCACGTCTCATCCAAAACCAGCGGATTCGTGCTTGTCAAACTTTGACAGCGATTTTAATGAACTTCTAGGCGGAATTCCGTCGTAATATTTGCCATGGGGGTTTTGTAGATGATAACAAAGAGAACTGTATAGTTTTGCACTACTGGAAAAGAAGCGGAGTTGCCCTTTAAGGAGCCAGCCAAACTGCTGGCGGCGCAGCGGAGAAAAAAAAGGGGGGGGGGGGGGGGGGGGGGGGGACGCCGGTATGCTCCAGCGACTGTATTTCAACATCCAGGAGCTAATAAAATGAATGAATGAAATGAATTTAGTGGATGGTACTCTTTCGGTCGTAACATTGACACTTGAGCCATCTTTGGTACTTGAAACCGTTCTTGCCAGTTATCGGAAGCTTCAAAACTGAAATCAGAGGAAGCGCTCTTCCGTCCTCCAGAAATGGAGAGCGGTCCGCGAAAGCGCGAAACGACTTTTCTATGGAGCTCAGGAAGCCGTATTCTCGAATCGTAAAACGATCAGCGATTCCGTCCCCTCTGAACTAAGCCCCAAAATGGCGGCCCCCGCAAGACAATGGGAGGCCGCGGAGTGGCGGCACTCTAGTATATATTATAGCTTATTTCGTCGTTCTAGTCATGCGCATGCAGGCCGTCTCGTGACACTATACCACCCCGCCACCCGACCATAGCGCAAGCTGCGAGCCATCCCAGCCAATCCACCTCTGGGAACGTAGGATGTGATACGCATTCCACACGTCACTGCGCCCCCTCTCCGAGGTCACGTGACAATGACACGGCCTTGGATTGGCTCCGACAGCTCGCATAGCATCCGCTGCGGTCGATGGAACGGGGTGTAGAAGACAAGGCCGGCACATTACGTCATCATTAGGAGGCTTTGTTTTCTAGCTGGTATTGGTTCTGCACGTATAGTCTTCACAAACCGTTGGATGTTTGTCACCTACGCAGGGATAACCGCGGGGCTGCAGCTTCTTCGACGCCATGGATCCAGCGGATGTCGTCAGTGGTGTTCAAAAGATGGCGCTGGGCGTCATCATCGCCATCGTGGTCGGGGTGATTTTACTCGTCGCAGTGCTCATTACATGCTGCGTATGCATGTGCAAGGTGTGTGCGGGACGGAAAAAGGTAAGAAAAAAAAACACATTTTTTTCGCCCACACAGAGCGAATAAGTAAAAAGCGATAGTTGAATACATGTTCGTGCAATGCGGGCAAAATGGCGTCGTCATGTACCTAAAGACGGAGGTGCGAAGTGGCTTATGCACATTGCCGTCGCGGTTGGCGTCGTGCATATGCCGCTGACGACTGCCACGACTGCTCGGTGATCGGTGACGTAAGTGGGAGAGGCGAGACACTGGATTTGCGTGTCAACGTTCTTAGTAAGCACGAGGTCGATGGTGCTGCCGGCGCGCGTTGTCGGTGCGCTGACATCGGACACCGCCGCAGGGCTGCAGAACCACTCGTTCTTGCTTCCAAAAACCATATCTGTAAAGTTCGGGAGGTCATATTTGTAAATCGCAACCATTGCGAATAGACCTTTTCCAAAAGTCGGCGCCATCTAGTTGCCGTTACGCCAATCGTCAGAGTCTGCCATTGTTTGGGCACGTATACCCTTCACTGAGTATATTCTGACCACGAAGCGAGTTCTGGCCGTTCGGCCAGAACTCGCTTCGGCTGGTGTCGAGAGCGAGTAGTGCATCAGAGTTCGCCGAGGACTCGAACCCACTCACACGATTAGCGCCCATGCATGATGATAGATGGATGGACGATAACGGCTGTGCCCTTTGTAGCGGGCGGTAGCCTGCGCCACCTAGCCTAAAAAAACAATACCAAAACACTTTAAGCCTTTCCACTCTGGTGAAGAAGGAAGACCAGCGAAGCTGTACGCTCGACCCGTGTGTTTCTTTTTCGTCCTCGCTCAACTATAGTTGGGCGAGTTACTGGGAAGCTTGCCGCCATCTAATGAGCGATGGTGGCAACCAGACTGGTTTTCTGGTTGCCGCCGTCGCTCATAGATGGCGGTAGCTGTTTAAAGCTTTGTGTAGTTTTGTGTCGACATTTTTTTTTGGTACCGGACACGAAACAGGGAAAACTAGCCCTTAACATTTCCGCAGTAAAACCTGATTTCTCCTTTCCCCTTTCAAGCCAATGCGTTTCTCTAACTATGAAGATTGATGACCGCCAGGCAGACCTTTAAAGGACCGGGCAAAAAAAAAAATAACTAAAAACATCTTTTACTTGCCCCGGCCCCCATTACTCCCTCCCGCGTGGGTGGGTGCCACGCGGGAGGGAGTCCACCCACCAGCTGTGCTAGTTAGTAGTACTTAGTTCAATTTTCCCTGGACAATTTCCATCAGCACTCCAATCTCCTCTTCGTTACCTCAATTTATAAATTATAATCCACCCTTTCATCTTCTCCAGCAAAACAGAGGGCCACCAGTACGTCTATAGCCCCGTCGGGAAGGGCAGGACTAACCTCTTTACAGCTTAGAATCACAGTATCAATGGACCTTTTTCCAGTAAGCGTCTGCGCACGCGCACACCCTTTTCCCTTGACCTTGACCGCCCGATCGCCATTCTTGGGGGGCACTGTTTTCTTGCGACACTAATCTGTTCCTATGGGAGAAGGCGAGTCCGGTTGCCCTCCATTTGTAGTAGACGGCGAAACCGTCATGAGGCACTCCTTACTGGAAAAAGGTCCACTGTTTCCGTCGCCTTTCCCTACTGCGCACTTTGCTATCTGTGCCTTCAAATTTGGCCATCTACATTTTTGTTCTTAAAACTCCCGTCCCCGCCTAAAACAGTAGAGCGCCCCCTCTTGAATCATCGAACGAACCTTCCTTCTTTATTTCTTGCTTCTGTGACCTATAAATAGGTAAAGATGATTTTCCCTGCATTTTCACCTCCCACATCCACCTCTCTGCCTCCTTAACTACCCTTTCCACTGAACGCGTTTGCTCCATCTCATCTGCGGGAATTTTATCCTAAGCTCTCGTGTCCGTTTCGTCCATCTCGTGTTCAGACTCCTCATAAGGTATTTATAAATCTTATGCGCCCACCGCGTGTCCTCCATGTCTGTTAGTATTTGGTTAACATTTATTTTACTCACTGCCTCTCTTTTCACAAACGATGACCAGATCATATCACCCTCCGCTCTTTCGTTCGAAGTTTTCCCATGTGAACCTAGGGCTGTCCTGCCAACACTCCTTTGCCCTATTTCCAATTTCGCCCGAACTCTCTAGAATTCATGCGCAAGACTGCATTACCAAAGGTCACTCCTGGTACCATTACTCCTTTCTATACTCCCCGCACCACTTCGTATCTATTAAAGTTTTATAACGCCCTCTGCTTCATAATGGCCGAGTTCCTTTTACCCTTACCAATTACATGTTTCTGATATTTCTCGAGCTATTTATTTTCTTCGTTTATCCACAGTCCCAGATATTTTGTACCTGTCCACCATATATATCTCTATTATGAGTACATTTAAAAGACCTTCCTTGATGTCGTTAGAAAACATAATTCCAGATGTTGTTCCACTGAATTTAAATCCAAGAGCGTCTCCTTCCACGTCGCCAATTCCAATCAAGTTCTACAACTATTCTCGATTATCTGCTAAGACTACAATAGCATCTGCGTACAATAAGCCTGGCAATTTCTGCCTCACTGTCTTCCCTCCTCCCCACCTTCCATGTACGATATATTGAAGCCGAATTCAATTTTCTCTAGTCGTTTCTCCATTTTCTTAAGCATATCATGAAAAGTAGAGGCGACAGGGGGCATCCCTGCCTAAGTCTACTCCTTAGTGCTGCTGGCTCTGTCGCTTCGGGCTCCCATGTTATAGTTGCTGTGTTCACTTTGTGTGCACTTTCTGCAAAAACTTCACTATTTCATATTTAATCCTGATTTTTATAGCTGCAGTGTGTCCAGCAAATTTCCTAATTTAAGGGGACGCTGACAGGGTATTTATGGTTGCCAAGATTTTTATTTATACATGTATGAGAGTCCAATTTCCCAGAACACAATCTGCGGCTCCAAATTCGTTTCCTTTCTGCCCGAAAACCGTTAATACAGAATTGGCCGGTTTGAGTTGCGTTCCCTCTCTTCTCCGTGGTCGCGTGCCGTTTTTTTATGGCTTAGACACAACCACCAAAGATAATCAAAGTTGTTGGTCCGGGGGAACACACTCAATATAAAAAATATAAACAAAATATGATTCCTCTTTGTTGTAGCTTCTAAAAAGCTGAAAATACATTGATTAAAAAAAGTTGCACAGCCACGTGACTTACGGCAACACACTCCTCCTCTATATTTCTTCTTCTTCCCCGGTACAGGTTCCGTTTCGGTTTCGAGCAGTTGAGATTTTTTAATTTTTTTTTTTAAATTTTACGTGACGCTGTTGCAAAATATTGATTGGGTAGTTTTCTGACACCACAATAAATCGCCTAAAAAAAGTGAAAGCCGCTTACAACTCCCTGTAACGCCGAATTAGAGCGCAGCTCTTGAGGAGGAGGAGGGAAGGGCACTGGGGGGGGGGGGGGGTTAAACTAACCAGGGGGGGTCACGTGACCTTGGGGGTCACGTGACCCCCAATGCCGATGATGTCATCACTGACGTCACTGATGACGTCATCAGTGACGATGACGATGCGGGTACCGATGACGTCATTAGTGACGTCACTGATGACTTCACCAGTGATGATGACGAGGACGATGCGAATGTCGGTGACGTCATTAGTGACGTCGCTGATGACGTCATCAGTGATGATGACGATGACGATGCGGATGCCGGTGACGACATCAGTGACGTCACTGATGACGTCATCAGTGATGATGACGATGACGATGTGGATGCCGGTGACGTCATCAGTGATGATGACGATGACGATGTGGATGCCGGTGACGTCATCAGTGACGATGACGTCATCGGGGGTCACGCGACATCGGCGGGGGTCACGTGACCTCGGGGGTCGCGTGACCTCGAGGAGGGGGTCACGTGACCTCAGGGGAGTCACGTGACCGGGGGGTCACTTGACCTCGGGGAGTCACGTGCGCCCCACGAGGTCACGTGACCCCGGTGGGGGGCTCGCGCGGTGCATTATGGGACATTTCCCATGATGCACCGCGCGGTTACGCCGACGCCGACGCCGCTCAAGCCGGAAACGGGCCCCTAAGAGCTGCGCTCTAAAGGAAGGTTGTCAGTGTTTCTTTAAGTTATCGCACCCCTGTATGTCTAAAAATGCCATCCATAACGGTCGTTGGCTTTTCTACGCTATTTCTATACATTGCGTGACCGCATACAACTTATTCTGTTCGCCTATCCTTGCGAAAACCATTCTAGAGTACTCCTAGCATTTCTTCTGTTTTTGCCCATTCTTCTACTGTACCCTTCCCCACCTGCATTGCTAGTCTATATAGGACACATATTACCATTATGGGGCGGTACGATTTGATGTTGTCCC